TGACTTTGTACGATAATTTTTATGGAAAATTTATGATTACTTTGACTTCGAATTTGCTGTTTGTGATTGCCTGGGCCGTGTACTTCTTATCTTTGCAGACTATGCGAGGCTCCCCTCTGCGTTCACAGTGAGACGGACTGGCGGTGTAGCACGTTAAACTTCTGTCGGACAAAGCACAGCAGAGGATTTTCTTGTTGCACTGGGGTATACACTCCGATGCTGATCACCAGTCAAAAACGATTCACGAAGAGCAAAAAAATCAACGGGAATGTGTAAGCCGGAGAATCCTCAGCGAATTTTTTCACCACACAGAACGCATCCTAACAAGATTCCAAGACACGTCGAGAGTCGCATGGCTCACCGCCCCGGCGTTTCTTCCATGCCGTCCGCCTCTGCAGTGCATATCAATATCATTTCAGCCATCATCATCATCACAGTCATCAGTGCCGGCAGCACTTTCATTCCGTTCACCGCTCTTGTCCCTCTTTTTGCTGACGTCCTGTTTCCAGTCATCGTTTTGTTCGCTACTGTTGTACCACTTTATCGCTCTCGGCGTCAAGCTAGCTCGTTTCACCAGCATCATAGATGTTCCACTTGCTATCGTTCCTGTACTACAGGTTTATTTAAAATGCCAAAAGGACTGGACACTGCTCTGGAAAGCAAGAGAGCCCATATAATTCCTAGATCAGTGAAGTTGACTTTTTGCACCATGTTTCTCTCCGGAAAGTGATTTCCCGGAGCAGACAGCTTCTTGCATTTGTAGACGCGAGATCTTTTGCACAACAAGTTAACAGCGAGAGGAAAATAGATTTTGCTAAAAAAACGAAAATTTTCTTTACGAAAATTAGTAAAAAGTCGAATATCATACCATAATCAATGTGTATAAAAGGCGGAGCCATCGGGAGGACCGCCGAACGAAAGCAAATGCCAACAGCAATCACTCGCTGGCAAGGCTGTTGATGGTTCTCTCTTTCGACGGTTGCTTACAAGCAAGTTGGTGGCGGATTTGACTCTCTGGCATGTAGCAGCGCAGCTGCAAAGGCACAAGAATCAGAGAAGCGTGAAGTAGCTGGACACCCTTTTGGGTTACCATAAAGTGTTTTCCGATACACTGCTGTGGACGCTAAAACAAATGCGCCGGTATATTCGCCACTGGCTGGGTTCGTCGTGATTACCATTCCACTATCCAGCAAGTAAAGCACCAGAGTCTCGAATCCGCTTCTTTTTCCGCCTTGGAATTATGTTCTCAGCCGGCTCTCAGTCATTCATCTTAACATACATCAAGTGGATTTCAATTTCATCGACGCGCTAAAGTAAAATCCTGAAATTTCACATTTTGGGCTTTCGCTTTTTTAGAATCACGAAAATTTTGTTTGAAATTTTTGAGGTGATGTAATAAGCCAGTGATTATACAGGCTTGATGTCTGATTTTACTACTCTTGAATTATTTGGAAAAGCTGTTTATCTGGAATTTACAGTTTGCGTCTTTTCTTCTCTCACTTGAATGACACCTGAGTTATAGTCCTGGATAAAGGAATTTAAAATCAGTGCTAATGGTCCACTTAAGTGCCTCAGATTACAAATTCATCTATCGCTTTGAACAGTCACCGTTACGATTTACTGGCTTCGGGCAACTCTTTTAATTACTCTGCGCATTTGTAGGGGTTCCTGTTTCTGTCCTTCCTGGGCCGATTCCTCGCTTCGTGTTCGCTTCATTCTCACTGATAAATTGGTCTTCTGCAGCATGGACAGTAAAACTTCAGAAAGCAGTAAGTAATTACAAAAGTCTTTCATCTATTCCCATCAAAACTGCGTGAGTGAATCCTTGTTATTTTCTGTTATAATAAAAACAACATTCGGTCACTGCATTATCCGATGAGAGTGCCAAATCGTTTTCTTCTATTTATGTTGCTTTCAACAAGACAGTCTTTGTGACCTTAAAAACATGCATTTTCGATCATTTTTTTGCCTAAACCGATTGTAGCGTCCAGGTTGACCTTGGATGTCAAAGTAAGGAAGACGTATAAGAAAGAAAGTAGGAGAAAATGGAAGGAAGAATGAATGAGGCAGGGCGTTTCAGCCCATTAAGTCATATATGTCTTAGCTCAACACCACCCTAATTTTAACAGCCTTTTAAGCATTTCAATTTTTCAGCATCTCTTACATTTTTTGCTTAGTTTCAACAAACTAAACTTTCAACCAGATTCAGCAACATTACTTTTCTCCAGCGACAGACAAGAGATGCCTGTGAATGTGTAGCTG